ATTTAAACAAATGTCTAACAAATAATTTTGAACATTATAATCTTTTAAGCTTAAGGCTAGAAATATTAACAATATCATCATTTCCAATCCATGTATGGATCATACATGCTACAATGCAGTTCCTATTTTCCATAAATGGTTTTGGTAAGAGGAATATTGTAAATGTGGATACATTTCCACTATTCCTTCTCCATGCCACGATATAGTGTTATTAACATGAGCAGTTATAAATCCATTGTCATCCTTATTCTAACTTAATTCTTTTTTTTTTAATTTAAGTTTGTTATTAATTTAAGTAAAAATTTACAGAGGCTTTGGATTTCCATTCATTCATTATTGCACATTTATCCCCTCCCAAGGCTCCCCCCCAGAACACTACCCTCTTGGAAAAGTAAAAGAAAAATTCTTTCATTATTTTACAAACCCTCCCCCAGGTCCACTCCACCATGTAGCTATCACTCTAGAAATGCCTAATCTCATATCTCTTTTAAATAGTTTTCTTGCTCCTCTGTTTCAGTGCAGTATACATTATTGAACCTATCTTACTCAGTCTCTCCCCAACCCCAAGGTCAGTCCCGTTCTACAACAGTGGCACCATGCAATGTTTGTCCATTTGTGACTGGGATATTTCACTCAGCATAATGTTCTCCAGAGTCACCCATTTTGAATAATATTGCATGAGTTCCTTGTTTTTCAATGCAGCGTAGTATTTACTCCATTGTGTGACTATACCACAGCTTCTCTATGCATTCGTTTGTGTTGGGCACTTAGGTTGTTTCCAGCTCCTTGCTGTTGTGAACAAAGCTGCAATAAACATGGGCGTGCATAAGGATACCTCCTTTTTACTCATCCCATTTCTTTTTAAAAAGATATATGAAATACAAATAATTGTTTATATAAGGCACCATATACACTTTAAATAGTATAATTATCAACTAAAATTGTGTGGTGAATTGATGTTTACAGTCTTGGAAATAATTTGAGATCAAATAATTTTCTTCTGTCATGATGCAATGCTATGGATATTATTTATGGAGGAAGCTTTGCTTGCCTAGTAGCCATTCTGCTAAGCATTTTTGTTACTTCAGGAATGTAAACTCCTTCTAGTCTTGAGTTTTCAGTCTGGATAAAATGACTTAATTTCTTGTAAACTGCCCCTAAAGTTTAGCAAGGTGGTGGTCACTCCCTTCAGTCCTGGAATTTAGGAAGGATACTTCTTATCTAGCAAGATATTATAAGAACAAAGGAGATTTTTTTTTACAAACATCCATTAATCGATGAATGGTTCAAAAAACTGTTAATATATTCACATAATGGAGTATTAACGTATCACTAAAATGATCAAGAAATTGTGAAAGATTACATAGCATGTGTGAATCTAGAATAAATTATTCTGTGGCATTCATCAGTCACAAAATGGTAATGATGGTATGACACCACCAATATAAAATATTAAGGATAGGTTTACATATAGATAGAATCAGTCTTGAAGGGGTAACAAGGAGAGAAGAGAAGGAGAAGGGAACAAAAATTAGTAAACAGCTATGTTGCATGAAGGGCAAGGCAATATGTAATGAGTTAGTTGTTACTGTTATATGCCATAGATTGAAATCTACACATGACTGACCCTCCAGCAGGTTACAGACACTGTAAATCACAGGGTCTGTGGGGGGGGCTTACCCATCTTTCTCACTTGGAGCAGCTTCTGGATTCGAACTTCATGCTTTTGGGTGGACAGTGCAATTTTTTACCACTAAGCCACTAAGTTTGTAAGTAATTAATTGTTGTTGTTGTTATGTGCCATCGAGTTGTTTCCGACTCATAGCGACCCTGTGCACAACAGCTCTAAA